ATGCTATTCCAGAGAGTGGAGGCCCCAACAGAGAAGGCACGCTTCCTAGGTCCCACAAGATGGCAATGTTTAACGGAGGGGACCTGGAGTGCACCCACTCTGCTGGAACGTACTGGGTGGGCAGAAACAGTTGGAAGCAAGTGGTCTCTCAGATATTCAGGCCCTATGCCACAGAGGGCTTTATGGGTAATAACCAGCACCTTGAATTGCTCCCAGAAGCTAACGTGCAGCCAATGCAGCTTGTGTAGCAGTGGTGACACATGGGCACACCAAGAGGTGCCTGTTACCGCTCCTGCTGCTGGACTTTCAGCCTGCTGTAGTTTCCAGGCGGTCCTGAAGAGCAGCTCCATGTAGAGAACATTGCTGCTGTTTTGCAAATATGGATGTTTTGCCACCCTTATTGCCATGAGGTAGGCCCTAATAGCAGCTCTAACCCACGCTCGGTGGGCTTCACTCTGTACCACCTTCTAGTGGCATTCCAGGCATCTCTTCACCTGCTTCATTTCCCTCAACTCCTCTGTAAACCAAGGGGAGAGGAGACGTTGTATGGGTGCAATTCAGTCCAAAGTCCCAACTGCCTTCTCATTCTAGGCAGCCACCTGGGCTTCAGTCATACTGTGTGGCAGACCATCAGAACCACCCCAAGTTCCCTCTTGAACCCAATTTGAATGGATCCAGCCTCCCTGCGGTGAAGGGCAGTGCCAGAGAACCAGAGGGCCCCCAGAGAGTGACCAGAGGTGGAAATAGAACTCTCAGATCATGTTGCCACTGCCAACATAAAAACCAGAAAATAAATGTAAATGTAAATATACATATAAATATATATGAAAGCCAGTTTGACCTTGGTCCAGTCACTCACTCTCAGCCCTGGGAAGGAGGCAAGGGGAAACCACTTCTGAAAAAACCTTGCCAAAAAAATGGCAGGCACTAGTCCAGGCAGTTGCCAGGAGTCTACACTGATTCAAACACACAAATACACACACATACATGTATATGTACAGACACACACACACACACACACTATACAGACACACATACACAATATTATAGAGCCACCTCCTCTACATGGATAATGTCAAGCTGTATGCTAAGAGTGAACAAGATATTGAGTTGATGATCCACCTGACATGGATCTACAGTGAGGACATTGGGATATCATTCACACTAGAGAAGTGTGGCAGGATGATACTAAAGAGAGGGAAGGTAGTTAAGACTGATGGGATGGAACTACCAGTGAGCCATATAGCAGACATACAGACCATCTACAAGTACTTGGTATCCCACAGTTACATGGGAACCCCAATGAGGAGGCAAGAAAGACAGCAACATCCAAGTACCACCAAAGGATAAGAC